GATCCAATTGATTAATTTGAATAAATTTTAAAAATTAATTATATTAATTATTTATAATAAATAAGTGTTGTTTTTCCTAAAATATCCTTATTAATCATGTGTGTTAATTAGAATTATCATTTGATGAAACTTTTAACATATGCAATTACCCCCGTCCTTTATTATAAGATCCAATTTTTGAATGGGTTTGTCCCTTTTTATAATATTTTCTTTGAGTTTGTCTGAGTATTTAATACAGTATTACCTATTTTACCCCTAATTTAATGTATTTAATACATTCTCTTTCTTTATTTATCTCATTATTACTCTATCATATTTATCCATTTTTATATAGGGGTATATTTGGAAAAAAAACTACATTTGCTACATGTTAATTGTTTTAACTATTTTTAACTATTTTTTTAAGCCTCGTAATTTACTTAAAAGAATCTTATAATAAGAGACAGAGTAGTACTACATTAAGAAAAAAATAGATAAATATGAGAGATCAAATATATTAAGGTTTTATATTTATGATTAAATTAAATGTCAAATTAGTTCTTATATCAAGTATCGGAAATAATATTACTTATTGGCTCAAACTCAAACATTATCGGATTTATTCGATTTCGTCCACAAAGACTTTGTGCATTCTACGTTTAATGGAAATTGATTCATTTTGTGAATGGTTGAAACCAGGGGGAGTTTTCTTTTGTTTTTCTCTTTCTGAACTCAGACTCTTTGCTTATCTTCTAACTGGGAGAGGAGTCTCTCTCTCCTCTTCCCTTCCCATTAGGTTTTGGACAGAATAGCTAGAGCATGAACATGAAGTAGCTAACTAATATCGGCCGAAAACCTTGAGCATATTGTATTTGTTTCCTTGCTAACTAAGAGCGACCTAAGCAAACCTTTGATTATATTATATCTTCATATTAATTTTGAGTGAGCTGTGTGAAATTCCACTGTGATTAGTTCAGGCTTATCTGTGTTCAACCTTGAGTGATTGAACAGACTGTAAGTGATGAACTTATTGTAAAACCTATAAGAAAATATACTTGGTTGATCATAGTGGAAAAATGTCTTGGAAGTCTCGAGGAAACTAGCCATAGGTTGGAGGACCAAACTAGGATACCTCAACTGTGTTTATTTGCCTACTTTCATTTACTTTCGATCGTCTATATTTACACAAACATACACACTCTCAATATGAATCTAGAATATACATATGGTATATGTTGAATTGTTGATGAGGTCGTTTTCTTTTCAGATGCTTGATTTCTGTGCTGAAAGCTGTACTCTACCTTGTGAAATCTAGTTGCGCGTAGTCAAAATTTGACCAATTCAACAAATTTTTTAGCGCATGAACTCCTTGAAATTAAAGTGTCTACAGTGTGTTCAACTTTGAGTTAAAAAAGCTGGTAAAAAAAAAAACTTGAGTTAAAAACAACCGTACAATACACAGTACCTATTAATGTCGTGTTTGAAAGTAATAATAGCGGTAAAATTTAGAGGGACTATTAGTTAAAAAAGGTAAAAGAAGGTATAGTACTATTCACCAATAATGGCTGTAATGAGAAGATTAAAAGCATATACTACTCCCTCCCATCATGAACTTAGCCAGTTTTCTCAATATATCTATAAATTAGATAACTAATCTTATATCAAGAGTACAATTTTCTCTAATTTAGAAAAATGAGAGTTAGAATATTAATTAATAACGATCATAAATGAATGAGCAAAGCACCAATAATTATTATAGATGTTTAGGAAAGGTCATTTACTTGCGTGCTTAACTTCTCATGATCGGAATCGTGCTATAGCAGGTTGGTCTTCTTTTTGATGAAAAATATATTGCACTGTCTATTCATTTCCTTTGGACCTCTTACGGGACTAAGAAATTAAAAAAATAATAATAATAATAATTAAAAAAAATAGATTGTCAATGCGAAGATTCTTGTCTAGAGAGAGACAAGCAGAAGCATGTTTTCTTGGTCCCAAAGATCTGAGTCTGTTTGATGATAAGGATACTATTAATATTTATTTAAATGAGTGCTTTTGGAAATTTGATGGTTTCTTCTTGTTATATCTGTATGTGGGTGAGGTTCCTTCCTCCTTCCTCCTAATTACTTCTTTAATTTTAAAAACTGAACTAATTTAAGAGAATATATTAAACTAAGAAACATAGGTCAATGAGTAAGGCTTCTTCGGATTAAAATTTAAAAAAAAAAAATATCGAATCGTATTTGCATCTTCTGTTTGGTTTTTCGTGCTTTTCTTGTTTTGGTACAGTATGTTAACTTAGTGTACATATTTTTAATATATCCTTGGCGCCAACCTGTCAAGAGGAATTAAACTATATAAAGTTTGAATTATTGCACAATCAATATTAATTCCCAGTCCCAGCCATCAATAAATAATAATTAGTTAAACAATTGTTTGACTTTTCCATCTTCTGATTTTAAAATCTCATTCATGTAAAACTATATTATTCATCGACTTTAACCTACTGAGTCTCTTATATTTATCTATTTTTCTTTTAAAATAGTTCTTGTAATAATGATAGTTCTAGCCAATATACTTGATTACTGAAAATATTTTAAGAAAACCAACACCTATTTGTTATAAATAATTAATTTAACTAATTTTTTTAATCTACTCAATTTAATCAACTAGTTCTTATATTAAGAACCGGACGTAATACCAAATTAATTTCTGTCTTCTCAACGAAGTTTGGGGATGTAGATTAATTCAACATATATCAAACTAATCACTAATTAACAAGTATATGTGGGGCATAGACTTTGATCATGAACTTGAGCTAATGGATCTTGGGGTTTTGATAGGCGGGTTGGGAGAAGGAACACTGGAGTCAGAGGAAACACGAAATTTGGTACAAGAAACATGTCATAGACATCAAAATCTGTCAGTTTTCTTCATTGACCAAGATTTCAAATAAGAATCAGTTGGTTATGATCTTATGATGAAACTGTCCCTGTACTGACAGCCTTAATTTTCAAGCCATTGACTGTATTTATGGTCTCTCTCTCTCTCTCTCAATCTCGTCAACTGAATTCGTTTCTAGTGCAGACGACACCTCATGATGATTTCTGTCAAATTATACATGTTTATGCAGGACTTTAGAAGTTAAAACAATCTGTAATTTCTGTGAAACTAATGAATGATTCGTACTGCGCGCTAGTGGTCTGAGAGTGAAAAAATTAAAGCCGTGTTCAACTTTAATTTGTATAGTATAGATACTAGCTATGGACATGACAGCCACTCGTAGAAAATCTGAACTGCACTACTAATTAATTATTAAGCGATATTAGTAGTTCTGTATTAATAACGACTAAGAGAAGTAGAGAAAGTCTCCTTACCACATGTTTCATTTCTGTAGATCACATGTGCCACGTATTCACTTTGCTCAAACACACACATGCCACTACATTGCAAACCATGTTTTTTGCTTTCTGAACTTATTTGCTTGTTGCTAGCAATTGTTGTTCTTATTTAAAGTTACTTCAAGTTTTAGAGTTTATTTTGTTGATGATTATTGGTTAATCCTTTGCGAGATCGCTACGCGGTATATGGATTAGTTTAACTTTTTTCCTTATATGGTCTTTGTGTACAGGTGGTATTAATAATAGAGATAAAAATCAAATTCCGTGGTCGGTCGTCATTGAGATGATGATGCGAGGCCGGCACTTACTTGGGCACCGTTGAGATAAGATCTAAATGGCTTTAAATTGTACTCTTATTATGTAAGATACCTTCAACATGTTTCACCGTAACTAAGAAAAAAATTTAAAATTTTATTAGTTTTATGTTAAAATTTAATAACTTTTTGATTTTATTCCTATATATTTAGTATATGCTTTATACTTTAACAAGTCTAATGGTGATTAAAATTTAATAACTTTTCACTTATACATTTAAGTGAAAAAAATATGTGACTTATAGGTAGGATAAAAAAACACATACTTTTTCTCTCTCATAAATAGGACCAAAAGAGTATTCTATTTTTCTTTAATGAATAATTTTTACTCTAATTTAGTTTAAAATAAAATTTCAATTGTCAAGAGATAAATATGCTTCTAATTAAAAAAATGAAAAATCTAAAATTTAGAATATAAAAATTGATGATTCAAAGATGATATGACATGAGCGGGGTCACTAACGAGCAAAGTACCCAAATTGATAATGAATACGTGGTGTCATTGACAAAAATCGAGACCATTCATATTCACTGTGTCATTCTGTTTTTATTTCTTTTTTTAAAAAAAAGGTGTTCCTTGTGCCTTTTACTCGAGCTGCATTTTCCATGCACCTTCCTAGGTTATGTACAAATGTAAATTTCTAAGTTTTGAATATGTGACAAATTTGTGACAATCTTGATTGGAATCCGCGTACGTAGGATAGGTTGGAAGTGATCACACACAAAGACACCAATCGTTTGGCAAAAAAAAAAAAAATTCAAAGACACCGATCGTGAAACTCACACTTTCCCATGGCTTCTATGTGCATTCCGCGGTGAAGTTTTTAAGAACTACTTCATGGCAATTTTATATATATATATATATATATGTATATACAATGGCTTGGAAAGGATTGGCAATGGAACATTTGGGAGGATAATGGAGACAAACTAAGAGGGTGAAGACTTATTTTGATCAAATGGCCAAGGCTTGGGGTTCAAATATATAATAAATTGAAGGACCTGTACAAGTAGGGTGGTTTTCTATGCAAAAAGAAGAAGAGATTTGTCCTCTTGCATGCATAATTTAAAAGTTGATGAGCGAACTAATCCAAAAAGCAAGAGAGAGAGAAACCCTAGAAAGAAAATGTGGAGAACGTTGAATAATGAATATAGCCATCTCTATTATAGCTAATAGCCCAGTAGACTTTTTGTCCTTTTAAGCAACACCTTAATTATATTAGACTCGATCTCTTTCTACCTATAAATTGCGCTTTACCCTTCTCTTCAGTTTCCCAACACAAAAGCATACCGATTATTGAAGCTTCTTCTGATCATAAGTTGCTCAAACTTCGAGAAACATGGGTCGAGCTCCTTGCTGTGACAAGGCTAACGTCAAGAAAGGACCTTGGTCCCCCGAAGAAGATGCTAAACTCAAAACTTATATCGAAAAGTATGGAACTGGAGGCAACTGGATCGCTCTTCCTCAAAAAATTGGTACCTCTCCCTCCCTCCCTCCCTCTCTCTATATGCTTACATAAACCATCGGGGTTCTCAAATGTTTTTAGTTGTAACATGTAATTATGACCTTTTGATGATCGGGTGCAAATTGAAAATGCACAGGGCTCAAGAGATGTGGAAAGAGTTGCAGACTGAGATGGTTAAATTATCTAAGGCCTAATATCAAGCATGGTGGGTTTACTGAAGAAGAAGACAACATCATCTGTAGCCTTTACATTAGCATCGGAAGCAGGTAAATAATTAGTTAATCTGTCTTTGTCTCAGTCGGTCAAATATAATTCTGGAGTTAAAGTTATTCATGGAAGAAGCTGGTGTTTGTGCACGTACCAGGTGGTCCATAATCGCAGCACAGCTACCGGGAAGGACAGACAATGACATAAAGAACTACTGGAACACCAGATTGAAGAAGAAGTTACTGGGAAGGAGAAAACAATCGTCTAGTTTCAATAATCCACGAGACAGAAACGGATCAGGAAACGAACCAGATGATTCAAATGCTCTAAGCAACTCGGCTCTTGAACGCCTTCAACTTCATATGCAACTTCAAGGCCTCCATCAAAACCAAAACTCTTTCTCTAATTTCTACAACAATCCTGCACTGTGGCCCACCACTAAGCTCCATCATCTGATGAATTGTAACAATAAAAACCCTGATCACCAGTCAACAAAGCAGCAGCAATTCTACAAACCCACTGTTCCATCCAGTACGGATGATACATCTCTTCAACAAGAACATGAAAAGATCAATAGTTCTTCACAGGTTGACATGTCATCGGTTCCTTTCATGGCCTCGGGGATTGATCAAATGGACTCTAATAGTATGGCAACGGTGAGACTGCAAGAGGGAGTTCATCAGCAGCAACCTAATAATGTGGAGAATCAGCAAGTTTCCGCACTTCAAGCCGAGTTGCATGAGATTCTCAGCAATAATAACAACAGATCAATGAGCTACAATATGCCACAGGATCAAGATCAGATGGCTGATTTTGATTGTTTTGCAGAGATGAACTCGAATGATTCGAAGGACAGCTTGATGAATATGTGGTGGTCCAATGATTTGATGGCCAAATCAGCATCTTCCAGCTCTTGGTGTTCAAGTACAAGCACAAGTACTCCTGTTCTTCAGCCAGAAGGGATGTTTCAAGATAATTATGAACTCGTGGCCGGTTATAGTTTGTAGTCACTACTACGGTATATAACTATATGTACATGTGGTAATTTTATGTGTCAGTTCATTCGTCATAATATGGGGGGAAAAGAAGAATATATCCATCAGTGGGGTGTGTGTCTTGTAAACATAGTCGTGAATATTTAATAACGTAAAAGTTGTAAATCATCACTGTTTGAGTGTTTGTAGAAACTCGTGTTGTGAAATATGAACCCCAATCTTCTGCAGTTTGAAGCTAAATTAACTGAAAGCATCTTTGGCTAAAAAAACTCACATAAACACTGAGGATATGTGATGAAGAAAGTATTAGGTATAATATATATAATATGTATATAGGTTAGGGTTTCATTTCAATAATCTCAAATGTAAGTGTAGATTTAATTTTCCTTACTAGAACACCTACTACACATAGTATAAGGCACTAATGAATTTCTCTATGAGACCATTAATTGCATACATTTTGATTTCTGGCTGCTAAAACTCTCAAATGAGTAATATAGGATTGATTAGTTATATTATTGTATGCATACAAGTCCTAAGCATTATTCGTATTGAGAAGCTCTTTAAGTTCATCTCATGTTATTAATGAATATTAAAACTGAAAATTGAAGGAGGCTTCTTGTTGTTTTATACTGCATGAATGATAGCGCGAAGAAAAGCTGGCTGCTTTCTGTGCTGAATATATTGCTAATTAAGTGGTAAAAAGCTGCAAATGGCGAATATATATATTGTGGACTTTAATAATGTGATCTTCTTCTGTTTGTTTTACGCTAATAGAATGTGCATCTTGCAGAGAAATCAAAGGAATATTGTTCATAACAGCACTGGAGTCGGCACTGGCTAGCACTTTCATGTGTATAATTTTGATTAGGCCAACTTAACAATAGTTTTTCTGTTCATGGGCCAATGAAAACGAAAACAAAAAACCCTTTTGTCACTGTAAACAAAAATGAGGATTACTCAGCACTTGGTTTTTAGTACGAGAGAGATGGCAAACGCTCCTGCGATCCAGAAAAAAGCGACATACACGAAAAAAGAAAATAACATGATGAGAAAAGAAAAATTAAAAAATCATTTAAAAATATCTTCATGCAGCGTTTTGGGTTATTCAGTGGTTGTTAGTTTCTCTGCTTCCAAAAAGAATAATTGTTCATCACCATATTGTTTTCTTCACCACTTACTGCATTTCAGATGTGGATCAGAAAGCTTATCCGCAGAAGAACTGAAAATTAAATTACCCTCCAGTCCTAAATATAAAGCCTAGTTTAGTTTTAAACATAGGATTTCAATTTTTATATTGCTGCTTTAATATTTTGTTCTCACATTAGGTCTTTCATTATTTTCACAGAACTCTCTTCGTTTCCCAGATTTAATATCCGAGCCTCGTTAAAAGAGGGGTATTTTAAAGAGAGGAACACAATTTTCACACAATAAAAATAAATGATTAAATTAACTAATTTTTTTAATCTCAGTTTAGTTAAGTTTTACTTTTCCGGTCTTAAATATAAAACCCTTATACATATTAGTATAAGGATCTTATATTTAGAATCGGAGGAATATATCGGGATTGGAGAACTCAATGACGTCATGGGACCGCACTTCTGGGCCTTATTTTTTATCCTGTCCTTAGAGCTGGGAATCAGGGCCGGCCCTTCAGGCCTGGCGGGCTTAAAAAGGGCCGCCCTCCAGGGCTAAAATTTTAAAAATACCCTAATTTGCTAAGCCCCTTAAGCTACAGGGCCAGGGCCGGCCCATGGTTTTGACCCGTTAAAAAAAATACTATTTTTTATATTTATCATTTTTTTTATAAAAATATAAAAATAAACCAATAAAATTATTAATAAAAGACATAAATATGAATAAAATTAAGTCACAAATATAAAATATCATCATATATAAATATTCATCAACATCTAAGAACATTTAAAACATTCATTAACAAGATAACAACATCTAAAAGTTTTATCTATAATACAATTGTGCAATAAATAAACACTATCATTAATCTTTTGAAATTTCATCATCACTATAATTAATTACTTTTCTTCATAAGTATGCTTTTCTTTCGTAACAAAAATATCTAATTTTTCTTCTTTATAAGAATTTTTTTTAAATTTTGCAATCTAACTATTATTTTACTTTAATGTGAGAAACATTGTTGTTGAAACTCATGAATTTCTAATTCAAATTATAGAATCACAAGTTATATAAGTAAAAAATATTCTATTATCAAATATATATAGTTTAAAAATATCAACGCATATAATATAAATCAAATATTATTAAAGTCCAAATTAACCCATTTTTTAAAAATTTAATTGGATAAATTATTGTCTAAAATAAATTTAATTTTAAAATGATAATAATAACTAATATTTGAAATATTATTAACAATATAAAAAAATAATAGCATTAATATTATATAAAAAATTTAAAAAATAAAAAAAATTATAAAATGGCTTAAAAGGGCCGGCCCGCGGCCTTCCAGGGCCGGCCCTTTTAAGCCCTTGGCCCTCTAGGGCTTATTTCTCATCTTAAGAGAAAAATCAAGCCCGGCCCTCATAATTTTAGGGCTTAAAAGGGCCGGCTCGACGGGCTCGACCTGTTTTTCCGGCTCTACCTTGTCCTTCCTTCTTCTCTTAATTTTATGGGCCTGGATACACTTACCAAAATCCCCATCGGCTTTTGACACTTTCAGCTCTGGCCCAAACTTAATTTTCCAGACCAAATCTGGCCTTCTCCTTTATTTCCTCGTATCCCCATGTCATGATTCTTGTCAGCATTCGGTCCACGTCGTTGTCCACGTCATCTGCCAATTTATTTTCGAAGTCGCCATTCTCATCTTTTGCAGGTACCTTCATGTCCATGTCACCAATACATCCATTGTCTCTCAATGGTTCAATTGACTAGAAAAATGAAGCTACTCCCTTGAATACTAAATGTATAAATTAATTAGTTAATTATTTGACTAAAGATGTGAGTTGGTTTTTCTAAAATATATCTTCAATCATTTATATAAGGACTAATGCTCTCTCCCGGTCTTTATTATAAATTTCAAATAACTAATTTACGGATAACGAATAATTAATTAAAAGCAATAAATATGTCAGAAATATAGTTTTGTTTTAAAAAAATACCCCTTATAATAAATGTGTGAAAATGAAAAAGAACATCTAGGGAAATGTGATAAAAGAGCATGACAAAAGGAGAGAATAAATAATTAAGGACAAAATTAAAAAAATACATTAAATATTTAGATAAGCCCCAAATTAAAGTTTATAAAGGGCTTGTTTGAAATGACTTATAAGTAGCTTTTCAATCATGATTTACAGAATACAAGATAAATATATGAGAAGAGTTTTGTCTCAATTGACGTGAAACGTGCTTATAAGTGATTTCAATCATGATGACAAATAGGGCCAAAATGGATTATACCTTTCTCCAAATTTGAAGTTTATTAATAGGACCTGAGGGAGTATAGTCTTTGACCCTTCAAGTTTATCTTGATTTTGGTTCCTCTTCCTCTTCCTCATTGGGCAAAATAGTGCAAATTTTTATTAAATTAGAGGGACTAATATTTTAAATTAAAAGAAACTTGGAGGACTAAAAATTATATTACCATTCAGCCATGGATGCTTAGCGGGGATCCTCGTACATGGTGAATAACCAAATTCCAATTGAAATGAAATCTTTAGGATAAATCAATGCAATTTAGGAGGACTTCTTGGTATGTATATTTTAGGAATGATTTGAGATGAAAATATAAATTTAAGAAATAAGGTGAATGGAGATTTTAGACATAAGATGAAAGTGAAATCCCTAACTACTGTATCTTGGATGGAAGGGAACACTTGTGGAGGTTTTACGTGAAAAAAGTTTGTACAAAATGTTGGGCTACTTGGCCGAAACTAATGAGAATTTTGCAAGGGTTCACACTCTTGGGACAAGAGCTGCAAGAGGATCCGCGTTGGTCTGATGACCATGGCCACGCAGGCTATGGCCTCTCCGATGTTGCTTGTGTGAGATACGTTGGGAATGGGATAAGGCAATGGGGCCAAAATTCAATCATAGCATAGCATGTTTGACGCCGCACAATATCGTCTTGCAGTTACCGCACAGGGCCGAATCGCTGTTCCACCTCTGCCCAATCTGCCCTCTGCTCTGCCTCCATTCATCTCGTCTTTTCTCTTGTCCTGCCCCCCAATTCTCAAACTCCTCTTTCTTGTTTCTTTTCATAGTTTTAATTATTTTATGATTAATTTTTTTCCATAATGATTTAATAATTTTTAAGTGAATTTGATAAATAAATCGCTGTTCCACCGCTTCCCAATCTGCCCTCTGCTCTGCCTCCGTTCCTCTCGTCTTTTCTTTTCTCCTGCCCCCCCATTCTCAAACTCCTCTTTCTTGTTTCTTTTCATAGTTTTAATTATTTTATGATTACTTTTTTTCCATAATGATTTAACAATTTTTAAGTGAATTTGATAAATAAATAGTTGAAGGATAATTTTCCAAACATAAGATTAAATTCAAAAAATACTTTTTACACCTTCTGTAAGATGATCTTTTTGACATGCATGATTTCTTGAATAAAAGATATTCACTTTTTGCTTGCCCCAGAAAATGTAAGCTATCAAATAATTTTTTTCAAATAGTAGATACATTTGAAATTGAATAATCATTGACTAAGATAGTTTCCCTTTTTTGGCCGCAAAATTTTTTTATTTACACATTTTCATGAGGTATCTTTTCCCCTTGCCAGATTAGAAAATTTAATTTCAATTTCACCAAAAATATTGCCCTCCATAATGAGGATATAATTATAATTTTTCTTTATGCCCCCTAAAATGGGAAAAAAAAAAAAGGATTGGAAGAGATATTCAAAGAATTGATTCCCCTTTTTGCGCCAGCGAGATATTTACAGATCTAATCCAGAAAAACTTTCCATGTCTATTCAGTAAAAATATGCAGCCGAGCCTACTGGGGAAAAGTAAAACACCCATTTGGCATTTGTATTCAGCACGGTTACTGGAAGGCATTCGCATGTGCAATGCGCAGCAGATTTTGCTGGCCAGACGATTCCAATGTGAGAACACAAGCTCGCAGCCGAGTGGAAAAATGGAAGCACAAAACGTCCATTTGGTCTCATTAATATTATTAGTAATAATCAATTAAATTTTACTAAACGCTCGCTCAAAACGAAGGGTA